CCAGATCCATAGTTATGCCTGGACATGACCTGCAGAATGTCTGAAGGTCCCCATGCCAGAAAAGCAGGGCCCAAGCCCTCATCTTCTTCTTCCTTTTTTTTTTTTTTTTAAAGATAGGGTCTTGAACTATTGCCCAGGCTGGAGTGTGGTGGAGGGATCATGATCATAGCTCATTGCAGCCTTGACCTCTGGGCCTCAAACCATACTCTCACTCAGCTTTCTGAGTAGTTAGGACCACAGGCATGTGCCACCACACCCAGCTAATTTTCGTATTTGATTTTTTTGCAGAGCCCGGCTTCTGCCACGTTGTCCCGATTTGTCTCAAACTCCTCAGCTCAAGTGATCCTCCTACCTCGGCCTCCCAAAGTGCTAGGATTACAGGTATAAGCCACCATGCCCAGCGCCCCAAGCCCTCTTTTGATGGGACCAGGGAAGAGGGCTCCGTTGCTTGGCTCACCTGCCCCCAAACCATTTCTTGCCACTATGGAAGTGGATCTCAAAACCCATGTCACAATTTATTACTAGGGGAAAAAAGAGTCATCAGAATCACCCAGGATACACAGAACCCCCCTCATAAATGATGCACCTTACATGAAACCACAGATTTCAACTCCGATCCTCTGTGCTGAGCCTTCCCCTACTGAACTCTCAGGAGACACTTCTCACAGGCAAATGCCTCCAGCACCAAGCCTTTTGCCACTCTCAACAAACGGTAAACACCTCAACAGGAAAAGGCAAACTCAGTCTCCCTGATTTGTGATTCTGGGCCTCTAGTCCAAGTCCTCCAACAACAGGGCAGGTGACAGGTGTCATCTGGAGTGCAAGGACCATCTTACAACTGGAAATGGACATAAGGTAGCCGAAGGATTTGAGGCTGTCAAATCCTTCCAGCGGTAAACTAAGGCTCCACCCCCACTGCTGACTCACTCTGTTGAGTTGATCAGAAAGTAGCGGAGTTGATCCCCATGTCCAGAGGGAAGGCAGGGTTGGAGAGGCCAGGACGTAGCATGGCATGCTCATGGGCTTCTGACAACGATGTGATGGGGGACAAGCCTGGGCGGCACGACCTGAATTCTAGATCACCACGGCATGATTTTTCCTCTCCTCTAGGAAGGGCCATTAACCTTTCAGATGACAGCCCTGGGATCAGAGTGACGGAATGATTTTTGAGGTCAGCAAGGATCTATGTTCTCAAAACCTGACATCGACATGCAAAAGTTGTGACTGAATCCTGGTGTCCCTGAGAGGAAGACTAAATGCATGTGACAGATCTTCTGCAATCAAAATGCCCCATTTCCCAGAGTATCTGTCACAGATTGATAACATCCACGCAAAAAGTTAAGTACAATTATGTCTGTCACTAAGAAACATACTTCCTAACCTGTGACTGACAACTTGCTGGGAGCTGACAAATTACAGGAAGATGACTGCAACAGCGAGCACCACGTCACCTCCTACGGGCAACCCAGGCCTGGCTGACACTCCGAGAGGCTCCCAGGAGGCTGCACCTCGCAGGGGAGCCTGCCGGTCAGGACTCAATGGCTGGGAAATGCTCTGTGGCTTTGGGTGGGAAAATAACACTTTGCCCCAAGACAGACGGTGTCAGGGAAAGGTCACAGGATATGCCCATGGCCTGGGGTCTGTGGGGAGCAGAGTTTGGGCCATAGCTTCTCCCTCGGGACCACAGTGAGGCCAGCCCAGGTAAGCGGGAGGGGCAGGGTAGAGCTACTGGAACCACACACTGCAGATTTTCGAGGCGAGCCCCCGAAAGATGGATATTCACATAAACAAGAGATGTCCTTCCATGTTCCAGCCACATGGAAGGCAGACTGCGTGTTTCTGACAGACTCTGAAAGGGACAGAATACCACTCATCGTCAGCTCAGGCCTGCCCATCCTGGACTGAGACGCGATGTCCGCCTCGCCAGGGGCCCTGGACGCTCTGGGAGGTTCGTTCCTCTGAGCCTGCCCTCTCAGGGAGGCTGCATAGCAGCACCTCTCCACTACCCATGCCTCCTTCTCTGACATTAGCAAGATGAGCGGGAGGGAGGCAATGGCTGCAAGTCAGATGCAAAAGCATCGAGGCGGCTTGAGGACCTCTGGAACCAAGGCCTGCTGCTCTGCGCCCTCCTTGCCCACTGGAGGGCCCTGGAGTTCTCTGGGCAAGGTGTCTGCGGCCCTAACATGGAGGTCTGCTGAGCCTGAATTTCTGTAGGCGTGGAAAAGGAATATGACAAGTTTCTTAAGTAAGGCGGAAGCAGCACTGATTGCTCTAATTCTCCTGCAGTCTGAAGGATCCAAATGCTGTCTCATCACCCCCAGCATCTGGGAGTGTATTGCCCCTCAGGTCAGCTTCTTTGATGCCACAGAATTTTCCCCTTGGGGAAGCTGTCTTTATTGAGTTTTTAAAAGTGGTAAGCCTAAATCTACCTCCATGTAACTTCAGTCCACCTGATCTAATTCTGCCTTCTGGAGCCCCCAGCCATCTCTCTGCCCTCCGCCCCATCCCCGCCTGGAAACCCTTCTACTTTCTCTCCTGATATTGACCTTTAAGACATCTGCAGTGGGCTGGCTTGCCTCCACTCGGGTCGAAACTGGATTCCTTAAACTTGACACTGGAATTGGGTAACCTCTGCCTGGCGGGGTGAGGCAGTGGACACACCCCAGGAGCAGGACTCCGCTCAGGGCCTCCCTCTGGTGCACACCAGGCTGCACTCCACACACCCACGCTCCGAACTGGCCGTTCCACACACTTGGCTGCTAAGCCAAGCCTCAAGTTGGTTCCTGTGTGATGGATGTTTTGAACCTCAGGAGCCCTCTCCGCCTGTGCCCATCACCTCCCATGGCTCCAGCAGGTTGTTCTGGCTGTGGAGGAGATGCGGAGTATTGATTCTGTCATTCAGCACGTCAGCTCACCCTAATGACTCTGCGTCATCTGCAAATTTGATAAGCATGCTTCTGATGTCTTTATCAAGCCATGGTTCCGCTGCTTGCTGAGCTAGAGGGCAGCAGCCCACCAGTGGCCTCCTCCTAGGTCGACCCAGAGCCATTCGCTCATCACACTAGGGGCCTCTGGTGCTCCAGCCACTGTGAGCCCACCTGCCTCCTGGGGCTTTTCCAAACCTCCGTCCCAGCAGCTCCGTCCCTTTCTTCTGCTAGGAAGAAAGAGCCCTTTCTTTCTAGCAGAAACAGGTGATGCCCTGCATGTGAGAGATGGTGGAGGGGCTGCTCTGATAGAAGCCAGGATGGTGTTTCCTCTTTTGGCCCCCCTGCCCCAGACAGCAGCACAGAGATGAATCAGAAACCCCACCATCTGATCACATGCCCGAGGCTGACTCACAAAGCTGGGCCCAGCCCCAAAGAGGGCCACAGAGATGCGACCGTGCCTCCGTCCCAAGGTCAGCCCCCTCCTGTTGATCAAAGTGCATGACATGGACGAGCAGGGGATGGAGCGGCCTGAGGCCCAGAGAAATGGAGGCTCTGGATCCCGGAAGAAGCACTAGGAGATAGTCAAGAGATGTGTGTGGTGATGTCTGTGTGTGAGATGAATTGTCACTGCATGAGGGAGAGGAGCTCTGCCAAGCCACCTTCTGCCGCCTTAGCTACCAACTCACTGGATACAGCTTAGGAGCATCCCTCCTCTCCCTGGGGACCTGCCTGCTCCAAAAGGACAACTCCAAAGCCGGTGACACCACAACATTTTCTGCAATAACAGAGCTTCTGCAGGAAGCTCCTGCTTCTAGAGGCAGTTCCTGTGTTTGGACAGAGAAGACAGTGCCACTAGAACCATGAGGTCCTCAGGTGATGGCCCACAGACACTGCAAAGATTCACCTTTTGTCTGAAACAAAGCTGGGAATGAATGACATTCCAAAAAATGGCAGGGAATTCTTTGAAACCGGAGTGATGACACAAGAAATGGAGGCAGAGCACGTGGTTTTGCCTTTGGAGAAGAACACAGGCTCAAGAAGGCAGCAAGATCTGTGACCCATCCCTTCCTAGGTACTCCCAATGGGCCTGGGCCAGGGCTCTGCAGGGAAGGGGCCTGCCACCAGCTCTGGCTTAGAACGGCGTTCCCCGCCACTGCCACGGTTGGACAGTAGAGGGTGCTGCGTCACCGTGCTCCCAGCGACAATCCACACCACACAAAAGACTGCACTGGCTGTGGTTCTCAGGTTAGTGGTTAAGGATACCTGAGAAAACAGTAGCAAGACGCAGACTTGCTATTACATTATATGATATCACCTAGGTAAAAAGTACACAGGAAAAAGACTTGAGGGAAATATAACAAAAGGTTATTAGCATTTGCTAGTGGGAAATAGAATTCCTGTTTTTTCATACTTTCTACATTCTGCCAATTTTCTACAAGCCTAGATTACTCTCGTCATCGAGAGAGACCCATGCAGTGCTCAGGGACCAGGGAGTGTGGAGGGGTTGCCAGGGACACATTTATTGTGACACTAAATACGTGCCTGGATCCAGGTGGGTGCTGGGGAGCTCCTCGGAGGCTCGCGACATGACTACAACACCACACAGGCTTCAGATGACCTAGGAGCGCTCAAAGAACACTCATCACAGGCCCACCCAGGAGCCTTAGGGAGGGCTTCCTGGGAGAGGAGTCCTCTGCGCTGAGACCTACCAAACACACCTTATGTGCAGGGCGCACCAGGAGCAAAGGCACAGAAGCCTGGGGCAAGAAGGGAGGAGGAGGCCACCAGCACAGGTCTGGGGCTTGGGCTGGGAGAGGGAAGAGAAGAATTCCCGGGGCTGGTGTGTGGCCCTGCAGGCCCCACTGAGGGACCTGCTTTACCCTCTAGGCTCCTGGCAGACCTGCAGCACCTGGAGCACAAGCCCCAGCCACTGTTCCCCACCTCAGGGGAGGCGATCAGGCTCCTCCTCTGGGGAGTGCAGAGACCTGAAGCCTCACGGAATAAAACAGCATACTCATCCTTTCCTAGGTCTTCAGCGGTAAATGTGAATGAATAATCGGTATTTCATTAAAAAAAAAATCAAAGCTACTGGATAGGAAAATAATAATAAAAAATCCCTCAAAACCCAAAAAACCCCCATGGATGAGGCCCACATAGGTGTGCATCCTACCTGTAAATTACCGCACAGGGGAACTTGGGACAGGCAAGTGGTTTTTACTTGGAAGCATTAATGTACATTCAATTATCCTGCTGCACACTGGCTGACTTAACTCAGCCAAATTAGAATACATTTTATATTGACTATTTTGACATCTGTTTTATTTGGCAAGTAAAACAAAACTGATCCAATTTCCTTGCAGCCATTGTAAACCATAAACTGTACAGCAGAGGTGATAAAATATGTAAGCCTTAGATACACTTGGTTTTGATGTGCTACCCTCCAATTCCGCCAGGCTTCTGGTGGCCCCGTGTTCTCAGTCCATCTTGCTTTGGCTGCAAGTGACCTTGCTCTCACAGTGACCCGCAGGCTTCCGAGAGCACTCTCTCTGCTTTATCTGAGAAAATCAGCACTTTTTCTTTATCCACAGAAAGTCAAAACCTGCCTGAAGTGGCGCCCATTTCTGGGCCCTTCTAGAACACATGATGTCAGCAGGGAGCAGCTGTAACCACTTCAGGGCAACTGCACCTGTGGGGGCTTTCCAGCCTCTGCCAGGAGCCCAAACTTGAGCTGACCGTGAGCACAGGGGATGGACCTCAGCACAGGTGATGGAGGACCCCTACATATAGGTCATGGGCTTAGCTGACCCCCCAGCACAGGTGACACACCTGAGATAGCCTTGGCACAGGTGACAGTGACCCTCGGCAGTGCCCTCCAGGGCAGAGCTGACAGTGCTCTCACTCAGAAATGGAGAAACCAGTGCTGATGCAAGGAGCCAGGCTCACACTCCTGAACCAAACAAAGAAACTCAACTGTTCATCCTGCAACTCTGGAGGCTCATTAGCAATTCCTATCTTTTTATGCCAAGTGAAACTGAAACCTACTTCTAAAGTTTCAGGCAATTCCAGAGGTAGTTAAGTTTAAATACCGCTCTCGGTTTGTGAAACTGTCATAAGAAAGACCAGATTGTCTTTATAGAGGGATGTCCCAGAGGACAGAGTCCTCGGGGCTTCAGGGCCTCATTACAGCGCAATCTTCCAAGTGAGGCGGAGGCTTGGCACAAAGGAACAGGGTACAGAGAGCCGGTGGCATGTCCCCGAGGGCAGGCTATAGTGTGGAGGGCCCAGGAAGACCCACTGGTGACTTTTCTGTCCTGTTCCTGACAGATTTTGTTCCTCTATACTCACCCACATGGAAGCTTTGCGATCCATTCTCATTTATGTTACATCCCTTAGTGACGCTGCCTCACGGTTCTTGTTTTATTTACTTTTGCAATCCCTTTCTCAAACTTAATCCACCATTGCTGTTTGTTCCTTGCCCTCAGTTTACTCCAAGTGATGCACAGGAGTTTTACTTGACAGGATTCTTTTTATAGAAAATGTAGAGACTTTTACACTTTTTTTTTTTTTTTGAGACGGAGTCTTGCCCTGTCACCCAAGGCTGGAGGGCAATAGTGTGATCTTGGCTCACTGCAACCTCTGCCTCCTTGGTTCAAGCCATTCTCTTGTCTCAGCCCCCCAAGTAGCTGGCATTACAGGCACCCACCACCATACCCAGCTAATCTGTATTTTTAGTAGAGACGGGGTTTCACCATGTTGGCCAGGCTGGTCTCGAACTCCTGACCTCATGATCCGCTCACCTCGGCCTCCCAAAGTACTGGGATTATAGATGTGAGCCACCGTGCCCAGCCATTAGAGGCTGTTACTACCTCTATAATGACTGAAATCAGTTGCAGAGCAAACAGTTGGCTCACCCAAGTTTCTCTGTGGAGACAACTATTTTTTTTTTTTTGAGACAGAGTTTCACTCATGTTACCCAGGCTGGAGTGCAATGGCGCGATCTCGGCTCACCGCAACCTCCGCCTCCTGGGTTCAGGCAATTCTCCTGCCTCAGCCACCTGAGTAGCTGGGATTACAGGCACGCACCACCATGCCCAGCTAATTGTTTGTATTTTTAGTAGAGACGGGGTTTCACCATGTTGACCAGGATGGTCTCGATCTCTTGACCTCGTGATCCACCCGCCTCGGCCTCCCAAAGTGCTGGGATTACAGGCTTGAGCCACCGTGCCCGGCCGGAGACAACTATTAAAACTAGCATTTCCTGAAAAACTCCTCAACTATTCTCTCAGACCCAAACTACCCATTCATTAGTTTATAGCTCATTGGAAAAAGAAATTATATGAAAATGAAGAACATAATAACTCACTAACCCTCCTGGGTTTCAAATGAGTTGCTAGTCAAGACAGAGAAGGAATTTTACCTTAAGGCCAGTGAGCCCAACCACATGGCTACACGGCACGTGTCTGTGTGTATCTAGCAGCTCTTCTGAATAGCAAGCCAATTTTAAGTTGCATAATCTGCAATTTTAGGAGCCTGTAGGACATGTACAAAATAGACTACAGCATGGCCTTTGCATTCATGTAACGCAGAGATTTCCAAGTGGATTTTTAAAAATCTCCTCTAAAGATATATTGCTTCTACAATTGTTCAGCTGTACTTTGTACTACTTCAGCAGACACCAAGGGGCAGTTTTCTAAAATGTTGTCCAGGGACCCAAGACCACAGGACAATGCAAGACACCACCAACAAGGCCTCACCTGGGAAGGTTGGGGGCTGGGGTGGAAGCAGCTGATGACTGGGAAGGCGTTGTGGGTTGAGATGAGTCATGATTTCTTGGTACTCTGCCCATTCGATACCAGATCCCCATGCTGTTCAGTTCCCTTTAGGAAAAAAGAGAAATCTTCATGGCTCTGGGTAGCACAAAGCATTTACCTGAGTGACAGAGCAAACCAACTCATCTAAGAGTCATGGCCTCAAACACCAGAGAATCAGTTCTTACCCCCGATGTGAGATGGGTTCTACCATCTCCTTTGTGCTCTGGGTATCACAGCTCACACGAGGGTGACCTGTTCCATCCAGGCAGGCCTTCAAGACAAGGCTGTCTGCGTCACCCTCCCCAAGCTTGCCTTCCTGCCCCAGCTGGTACTTTCCTTGCTTCTCCAAACTTCTTGTTTTACCATTTCCTTGTAGAGTGATGGGATAATCCACATCAAGTCCTTTGTGCAGTCAGGAGGGACAGATAGGGAGATGCTGGCTTTTAACCATGAGAAGAATCAGCCCCCTATTCCCTAACACACCCCAATCTTAGGACGCAGCCTCTTCCAGCTGGGTGTCACCTGCCATCGGCCTCATTCTCAGGGTCAGTTTGGGAGTCATCTTCAAACTAGAAAACTCGAGGCCCCACGAGTCACACAACTAGGCGTGGACACCAAGGAGCCTCCCAGACACTGCATAAGCTCTCCTGTGACCTCCCTTACACAGTCACCACAGCCCCACCCACACCACACCACACACTTGTGAGTCCTGAAGAGACAGCCATGCTCCTAGGAATAGTGACGGGATCATTTTCACCATATTCAGTTTCCAACTTCCCAGCTGCCCCACGCAACTGCGTCTTTGGGACCTGGTGTAGAGGAATATAATCTCTTCAAAAAATGGAAAAAGACTCATTCTGTGGGAACCCCTAATAAGCTTCTCAGAACACCACAGGAACCATGTAAAACCACAATCTTGTCTTCTTAGCTGAGTGATTCCAACCAGCTGCACTGATTTCTCCACATCTGGGCCATGGCCTCCAGCTGCCAGGCTTTGGAGGTGCTATTTGGAGTGTGAATTTTCTCTCTTCCCCAGCTGATAGTCCCAAACTCTTGCAAAGTAACATGTAGAGCTGTGCCCGCTTTTAAGAATAAGTGACTTAGAGTTCTGAATACTGAGTTTGAAATTTCCTTGCTTAAAAATAACACTGGAATTGTCTTCCTCTGGAAAAGAATTTTTGTCCCAAGATGAATTAAAACTGTAGCAATATTTCCAACGTGATATCAAGGAAAAAAGGCTTTGGTTTTATCAAGGTATATACTGGTAAATATCTATTCCTTAAAATGGTTTAAATTGGTTAAAAATGGAATCTTTTTACAACAGGATAGTTTGTAATTAAAGATACACATAGTAACTGATATTAGACTTTAAAAGTTCATTACTAAATTGCTGGTTTCTGCCATTTATATGTAAATGGGTGCTTCTGAGGTGCCTAAGGTATGTTTATTCTCTTAACTATTTCCTACTCCTGTAGTCCTACTTGTAAACCACGCTGGGAAACAGGCTTTTTGAGTGTGTAGGAGGAGAGTGATTACAGGGGCCTTCTTAACCACATGATCTTGACACAGAGCACTCAGGTGCCTGAGCTGAAGACTCATCGAGGTGAAACTTATATGCATTTCTGTGGTACCTGCTCCCTACAGGCTTCAAGCAAATGCCACAAGGACTCATCTGCTTCTCTGTCCAGGTCTAGGCCTTCAGGAAAGGGCCTGGCTGATAAAGAGGCGGCTCTGGGCTCAAATGAACAAGAGCAAAGCAGGGTACAGGCCTGAGCCAGGAGGCCGGCCTCAGAAGCTAAGGAGGAGAAGGTGTCTCTGGGAGCCCACAGGGGGACATATGGCACTTGCCAGGCCTGGCTGAGGGGGTGGTAAACCATCTACCACACTGAGTAATGTGCACACCTAGAATTGCAGTTGACTGAGGACAGTGAGCATCTATTTCCTCTGTCAGCTGGCATCCGCTCGCCCCCTTTCTGACTTTTTACTTCCCCTCCGTATTTTAGGGGCAGCACCCATCATGTAGTCCTTGAGTTCCCATGGAGGTGATCCTACTTCCTGCTCAGGCCTGGTCAATGGAAGAATTTTCCAGAAAACAGTGACCAGCCCAGGGTGCACATGACCCTACCTAAATCAATCAAGACCAGTGAGTGTAAATTCCAGAACTTCTTTTGAACTATCAGGAACACCAACTTGCTCCTGGCCTCTGGACTTGAACCTGTATGAAAAGCAGGTGGAGCTACTGCAGCGCCAGGCCTCCCTGAGGCAGAAACACGTCAGAACAGAGCCCAGCACCAGAGCCAGAGGGAGACAGGGCAACCAGAACCCAGGGCTGGACTTCTAGCTCCCGCTTCCAGGCGTGCCAGTCCTGCCTCCCGAACTCTTCTGTCATGTCAGCCAACAAATTCCTCCTTTTGCTCAAGCCAAACTGGGTTGGGTTTCCTGTCACTTACAATCCACAGATCCCTGGGTGAAACCCTGGAATTCCACTGTACTAAGTATTTATGGAGCCACAACAGAGCCAGGCCCATGCTCGGTGCTGAGGCTACAGGAGGAACAAGGCACAAACAGGCCCAGGCCTTGGCAGTTCCCTGCTTACTGGGGAATTATCATGCTGTGTAGCATTTGTGTTTCCTCCTGACTTGGAGCCCTCCGCTGGCTTTCCAGTGTGCTTGGAATGAACTCCAGGCCACGTCCCAGGAGGTCCTGCCAACCCTCACCCTTGTCCCAGCACTCTCCCTGGCTCTTGCGGCTGCACGGGGCTGCATTCTGCACCCAGAACGTGGCCCGCGCATTCCCGCGTCTCTCCTTCTGCTCTGCCTTGCAGGCTCTGCTTCACATCTGTGCATGGCTGGCTTCCTGACGTTCAGGTCTCTGCTCAAGCATCACCTTCCTGACCCCCTCACGGAGGAGCCCGCTCTTTATCATTGTGTTTCTCTCTCCTCACTGTCCGGAATTAATTCATTTATTTTCTTGCTTATTGCTCATCTGTCCCTTTTAGAACATCAGCTCAGTGACAGCAGGGCCTTTGCCTCACTCACGACCACAACCAGTGGCCTTGGCCCCGTGGTACAAAATAGGTCCCTGTGACCTTTCTTAGGGTGAATAACCGGTGCGGAGAGTTGAGGCCAGTGGCATCACAGGACGTCGGGGAAGGACCCAGAGAAGCTGCAAGGGTGAATGCGCAGAAGGGCAGGGGAGGAAAGGCCCTAAGGTGGAGTCAGCAGAGCGAGCCTAGATGCGGAGAGGCCGCAGCTGAGCAGGAAGGGCAGCGGGGAGTGCTGGACTGATGGAGGCCGGTGGCTGAGAGCCTGGGGACCAAGCGAAAACCTCTTGGACCTCATTGCCTGGAGTGCTCTGAGCGCTCTCAGGGAAGAGCAGCAGCTGAGATTCCTGTCATTAACACTCACCCAATAAATGTGTACTGAGGCGGGGCCTGCTTGGTCCGACCCATGATCCGAATGTCACAAATCGCAGCTTCTGTTGAATCCCGTGGAATAAACTTAATGCACAGCCTCTTCTTCCTAAAAGCCACTTCCTCTGAAGGAAAGGACAACAGAAAAGGTATAAGTTTTCCAGAGATGCCACTATTTCTACTCTGAAACCCACGTCCCCTGTCACACCCCGTTCCTGGCAGCAGAAGTGGCAGGTCACCTAAGCTGCTGGACAGAAGGGCTGGGCTCTGCCGCCTGCCTTCCCTGGGGCTGCAGTCACCCTGCTCTGCATGCAGGGGCCAACCCAGACACCCCCTGCTGAAGAGAGGACCACACACGCTGCAGTAAACCTGGTGGCTTCTAAGAGCCACAACCGTAATCTGCTCACTGCTCAGCCATCAGAAACCTGCACTGACTCCCCGCGCGTTCACATTTCACCACATGGACTTCTTTTCTTTTCTGCTTTCTATTACAGAAATCTTCAAACATACCCCAAAGCAGAGAGAATAGTGGAACGAATCCACGTGTTCCTACCACCCAGTGTCAATACCACACAAAATGGACAAGCTGGTTTCCTCTCTTCCCGGCCCTGCAGTTTTGCTGGATACTTAAAATGAATCCCCGATGACACCAGGTCATGTTGCCATCAATATCTCAGTAGGCATCTCAGATAGACACTTCTTTAAAGACCACCATGCCATCACCATTCCTAACAAAATGAACAGAATTCCCGAGTATCATCCAAGAGAGAGTCTCCATGCACATTTTCTCCATTCTGCCTGTGTCGGGATCTGCAGGATGACACGGCGCTGCCTCTGGGCGTCAGGCCTCCCAGTCCATTTGGCTCTGGAAAAACCACTCCTGCTCCCTTTTATTCAGAGCACTGACAGGTTGGAGAAATCGGGTCCCTCCCCTGTGCTTTCTGTAGACTGACAGAGCTAAGGCCTCGATTAGACTCAGGTTTTAGGTCTTTTAGGTGCACATGCTGCCCAGAGGCACATGTCCTTCTAGCCTGTCATGTAGCAAGGCCCGGGGTCTGGCTGGGCCATTCTTGCTGAGTTCTGCTGGTGTTGTTGGCCTGGGACCTTGGTCACACAGTTCCCCAACGGCCATCCTTTGAGCACTTTCTCACCCACTGATGACTGTTGCTAAGATCCATACTTTAGTAAGGTTCACAATGGTGATTTTTGAACTCTGTTATTCCTTCTGCTTTTTTTTTTTTTTTTTTTTTTTTTCAGATGGAGTCTCGCTCTGTAGCCCAGGCTGGAGTACAGTGGCGCAATCTCAGCTCACTGCAACCTCTGCCTCCCGCGTTCAAGTGATTCTCCTACGTCAGCTTTTTGAGTTGCTGGGATTACAGGCATGTGCTACCACGCCTGGCTAATTTTTGTATTTTTAGTAGAGATGAGGGTTTCACCATATTGGTCAGGCTGATCTTGAACTCCTGACCTCGTGATCCGCCTGCCTCGGCCTCCCAAAGCGCTGGGATTACAGGCGTGAGCCATGGCACCTGGCTTCCTTCTGCACTTTTAAGCTAGAATCCTTCTATACATAACTTACCTTCATCAACTATTTGGTCTTCCTGAAATAAGTTTTATATAGGAAATAAAGGATAAGCACGTGATTCTTTTCTCTTACTTATCAAGCCTTAGAGTAAGAAGTTGGTCCCCGAGCAACCTCCAGTGCTGACCAATGGGATATGTGTGTTTGTGCTTTTAAACCTGAGTTTCAACCAGCTGCAGCCATTTAATACATGAGTCAGACTGATCTGGGTTGAAATCCCAACTCCACCATTTTCTGGCCCTGTGACCTTAGGCAAGTTACTTAATTTCTCTGGGTCTTGGTAAACTGTAAAAGGGAGTTAATGAAACCCACCACACAGGGATGTGGGCTGGTTGCACTGTGCCAGCACATATGATCCACTTAGTCCAGTACGTGGCACATAGTAAGTGCTCAGTAAAGAACAGCTGCATGGAATCTTACTGTCATTATTGACAAGCAAGCCTCTAATGTGTAATTTATGCCTGTACTTGGTATTGGGTTTCAAGACCTTGCAGTTCCGTGGCAGGAAATGATACATTCAATAGCACATTCAAATTGAGGAACAGAATGAGGAGAAGTACAGTCCTGCCCGGGGGTTTTACTACAGGGGCGGGGTGCGTGGGGGGGAAGGAGAACAAGAAAATCAGTAGAATTGTTTTGTTGTTATTATGTTTTTAGTGATGTAAGTTTGTTTTTTAAAGAGTCGGATAGTGGGTTTTCCAGGCACAGAAACTGAGAGCAAGAGCAGATCTACAAGCGGAGAGAAACAAAGTTCTGAATCCAGACCCAACACTGCAGAACATCTAGGAAATGACCCTAGAACCGGAAATGAAGAGGCTCCCTCCTGCCCACACTCCTGTGTGACGAGACCCAACCTTGAAGTCCACACTTGGGACCGCAACCTGGGGGGTGGGGGTGGGCACTGTTCACAGCCACTCTGCACCTTCAAAGATTATCAGCTCATCAGGTTGGCCTTTGAAAGTGCGAAGAAGATGAGACTGTTACACAAGGGAAACTAACACTGGGTGTTTCACTTGCTGTTGCCATGCTGCTCTTGGCTCCATTCCTCTGTCTGCAGCAAACTCGGGGTAAGAGATGGAGCCACTAATTACACATGCTTAAGCAGGCCTAATTTTAAGTAAACATATTATACATAGTCAATAGAAATGTGTTCAGTCATGCTAATGAACACAGAGAAAGTACACAGCACTTTACTAAAACAAACAGTCTTCCAGTTTTTCAGTGCTATGGATTACAGCAAACTATATTTTAAATTAATTACAGGAGTCTCCTGGTTTTGGCTGACTTTATAAAATCAGGGCCTTGAATACTCTCAAACAATACAGAGCTGACCATAAGGCGTAACTGGTCAGCGTGGGCTCCTCTGTCCCCTGGGTAAAGGCTCCAGGAAATGTTGCTAGACCCAGACATGAAGAGGCTCCCAGCCACCCACCCTCCGGTGTGACAAGGCACCTGGCGTTGGGCCCAGGACAACCGCAGAGTCCACACTTGGGACAACAACCTGTGTACTCCCAGTTACAGGGGAGAAACTTCCCAACCAGGACCCCTTGGCCCCCCAGCAGCTGCCCCAAGCCCAGATAGGACAGAGCCTCAGTGAACTGGTCCAATTAACTGAGAGGAAAATGCAGAATGGAAAACCCCTTGTGGCTCCACAGCATATCAATGTAAAGACATTCAAGGTCAATGGACTGTCAAAAAACGAACACCAACGCAAATGTTAAAACTGAAAAACATGGGAAACGCAGGAAATCAATCCAAGTCTTTGAGACAACTGTAGATCTAAGCAGAGGAGATCATACAAATGGCCAACAAGCACGTCAAAAGATACTCAACGTCATCTGCCATCAGAGAAGGGCAAACAGAAAGCACGAGGAGATTCCACTTCACGCCCACTAAGATGATAGAATCAAACAGACAGACAATAAGGAAGTGCTGGTGAAGGTGTGGGGAACCTGGAACCTACGTACACTGCTGGTGGGAATAAGAAACAGTGGAGCTCCTTTGAAGCATCATTTGGTAGTTCTTCAAACATACCTAGTTACCACATGACCCAGCAATTCCATGACTAGGTAGATGCCCAAGAGAAATGAAAACATGTCCACACAAAAACTTGCACATGAATGTTCATAGCAACCTCATGCCTAACAGCCAAAAAGTATACACAGCCCAGATATACATCAGTTGAATGAATAACCAAAATGTGGTATATCCATATAATATTCTATTATTTGGTGATAAGAAGGAATGAAGCAATGGTCTATCCTACAACATGGACTAACCTTGAAAACATTATGCTAAGTGAGAGAAGCTGGTCACAAAAGACCACACACTGTGTGATTCCATTTATATGAAATGTCCAGAATAGGCCAATCTATGTAGAAAGCAGATCAGTGGTTGCCTAGGGCTGGTGGGGAGTGGGGAGGTGAGGACTCTAGAGAAATAAGAGTGGTTACTAAGGGATATGGAGTGATATCCTGATAATGCGTTTCGGGGGTGATAGAATGTGCAATAATGGTTGCACAACTCTGCATTTACTAATAACCACCAAACTGTACATGTCAAATGGGTGAATTGCATGGTATGTGAGTTATATCTTAATTTTTTAAAACTCTATATATTAATATAAAAGATAACTGTAAAAGGTGCTTACACATGCTCTTCCAGTGTGGTGCTGTGGTTAAAAAGTGTGGCTGGCGTTAAGACGTATGTGAGTATTCTAGTTATTCCTCCAGTTCTAGATGTATGACCTTGGCCAAGTTCTTTAATCCCTAAGTAGTGAGTGCTTCATTTTTCTCATATGTGAAATGGGTATAATAATGCCCATCTCTAAAGAGGGGTCTTCTGAAGATTAAATGAAATCAGGGAGGCAAAGCTTTTATCACAGGGGTAAGCATACAGTAAATGCATACTAAATATCAGCTCTTATGAATATCAGGTAATACATACAGTAACAAAAGACAAAAAGCAATCCAATGTCGAAATGTGAAGAGGCCATCAGGAAAATAAAAACATGCTATACAACGAGGTCTGCTGGTTTCATGAAAATAACAGTTAGGTGGGATCTGCATAGAGATAGAAACTCTAGTTCATATCGTATGAAGTGATAGCAAGAAAACAGCAAAAAATAGGGGGACCAAAGTGGGGCTAATTATGAAAGAATAAAGTATGAGACAGAAAATGAGACAGACCATTTAATTAACGAATCCTGCGTTGTAACAAAAGGATTCTCTGTATTTTTTTTTTGTGTTCACTGTTGTAGATATCCTAAGGTTGGCTGACAAGTGATTAAAAACGAAACAAGGTAAGTTATATTACACCAACACAAGGAAGCCCAATTGCCAGAAGTTTTCCAGCACCATTTAATCACCCATGTGCGGATCAAGACACTCCAAGCGCTCCAGCACCGTGAAGAAACTGTGATTCCTCAGTAATTCACTTCTGCTCGGCACTGCTCAGGGGTCAGAATATTCAGTCCAATTCGAACCTGTGAACTTTAATTCACAGTCTTTCTGATTCTCACTTTTCTTTCTTGCTCTATGGGCCCCAAATGGGCACGTTATTGGTCTTGTATTCTCTGGGCATCTTCTGATTGTTTTCTTTCTGCCTCCTTCTGGATCTTGTGCCAAGCTTGGCTTCAGCAACACCAGAGGCAGGACTAGAGACAAACTATATCCAGTTTCACCATTTTATTCCCCAGTGAGCCAATTCAGCAGGGAGCACCATTCTAAAAGAAAGGGATGTTCTGCTCATTTACATGCCACTACCCAGAATATCTGCAAACTCCTTGGAGAACCCAGCCAGACACACATCAAAAGCAGTAGGGTTTATTCATGGGCACGCAGTAAGTCCTCCTAAAATATTTCTGAAGAAAAATGCACATAAAAAACACCTACAAATATACCTGGAAGAAGAAAACCCTCATTGTGACGAGTGCTACTAAAGGATGACTCACGTGTGTCCACCGTCTCCTGAATTGGGATGAAGCCCACAGGCAGTGTGTCCTTGATGTCAATGAGCTTCATATCTACTAACACGTTCCCCAGATGACTCTTGGGAAGAAAGAAAAGAGATACAGACTATTAATCTGAACATGCCTGTGGTAGGTTTGCCATTTTGGCTTCAAGATGCATATTTAACACAATGACTTGTGCAGCTTTATGACAGCAGGTTAATTAGAGTAGGCGACACTTAATGTTCCCCAGTGGTTACAAAGGGACTCGTGCGGCCCCCGGGAAGGAATTTCATCTGCGGAACCTCAAAGCCACTGACTCAGACACGGCCTTGGTGAGTTCGGAGCAACCCAGGAGATGCTCTAGACATAACTCAGCAGAGGGCAGCTGTGCTCACAGGTCCTGGGACCAGGCTGCCACTCAGCCCTGAGCATCAGATCTCAAGGCCAGAAGGTTTTAGAAAGACAAATTCCTGAGGCACTCATAGGGAAGAGCTGCACGTAAACCCGACAGGGAACCCATCACACTCCTAAGTGATCACCAGTCTGCATAGTGACACACATTTCAGTTGCTAGATACATTCTGCAAAATCCCAAGAATCATAAACTAATACAGAGTGAAAGCCCTGCTGCCTCAATATTACACATCTTCTAAAATGACATGCACCAGGGCCTCCTAAAGTTTCTATTTAGTGGTAGTGTATGGGGTCCACAGTGCGCAGTTTCTGTAACTAGTGTAAAAATATCTTTCAAAGACAGTAGACTATTCTGTAATTGCAAGAGAGAGCTCTTTGCAAACATGCTGGCACTTGCAGCCCGCATTTCAAGCTGGAAATGAGCGCTAAAGATATCTACCCTACAACTTAAATATGTGGGGCCACTTTGGAGATTTCATCAAAATCTTCAGAGTAATCTGCAGCTTGGTTCCCCCTCTCTAGTCAGAGCCAGTTAAGGAAAGAATGATGGGTTCTAATCTCAAATCTCTCCTGTTAGGATACTAGCAGTGCACTCCATGTGCCCATTTTGCAGAAGTGCCTCATCCCCAAAGCCCAGCGTGAGCATGCTCTCCGTTTACTTGTTCAGCATCCTTGGACAAGCATCTAGTTGGTCAGCCATCACTCTGCCCTGGACAGCAACTTCTCAGGCTGTTGTTCCATCTTGCTTAGAGAAGAAGGGCTGCTGCCTCCATCTCTGCGCATGGGAGCCAAGATCCCACCTCCACCTGCACTGTGCCACGTCTCTGAAATCCAAGCAGGGAGTTCTCATCATCTAAACTGTGTCATGTTCCCTCTTGGCACTTTCTTTTTCCCTTCCTATCAATTTGTGGGGTTGTTTAATATCTGTCTCCCTTCTAGAGTTTAAGAACCATGAGAACCAAACCTATCTCTGTTCCTACTGTAAATACAAGCCTAGCATGGTTTTTGCCACACAGCAGGTACTCAGCAATTACTTGCTGAATAAATTAATTTTGGGGGCACATTTTTCAACTGGGCCACTCAGAGTCAGAAATCAAACTGGAGGCCAGGTGCTATAGCTCACACCTATAATCCCCACACTTTGGGAGGCCAAGGCGGATAGGGCACTTGAGCTCAGGAGTTTGAGACCAGCCTAGGAAACATGGCAAAACCTCATCTCCAGAAATGAAAAAAAAAAAAATGGCTGGGTGTGGTGGCGCTCATGCATGTAGCCCCAGCTACTCAGGACGCTGAAGTAGGAGGATGGTTGGAGCCTGGGAGGTTGGGGCTGCAGTGAGCCAAGATCATGCCACTGGACTTCAGCCTGGGCAACAGAGTGAGACCCTGTCTCAAAAAAATAAAAAGTAAAAATTGGCTGGGCACAGTGGCTCATGCCTGTAGTCCCAGCACTTTGGAAGGCCAAGGCAGGCAGATCACTTAAGGTCAGGAGTTTGAGACCAGCCTGGCCAACATGGTGAAACCCTGCCTCTACTTTAAAAAATACAAAAATTAGCTGGGTGTGGTGGTGGGCACCTGTAGTCCCAGCTATTCTGAAGGCTGAGGCAGGAGAATCGCTTGAACCCAGGAGGCGGAGGTTGCAGTGAGCTGAGACTGTGTCACTCCATTCCAGCCTGGGCGACAGAGGGAGACTTTGTCTTAATAAAATACACACACACACACACACACACACACACACACACACACACACACACATCAAGTTGGGTTTGCTGAGATGTCAAATCTGAACTATATAATAAAAATATCTAAAGTACTGATATACACTAATAAATATAATAAATATATTATCAACCAAAAGTATACAAATGAAATAAATTATTAAAATTTAACTAGGAAGGTCAAAACAGCAAGTATAATCTATGATCAGTGTTTTTACGGCACTGCCATCAGGAAACCGTTTCTTTCTCTCAGAACTATCATATTTGGCAACAATTAATATTCTGACATTCCAGGTAGCTGGGCTTCAGGAAGACAATGTACAGCACAGCCTAGTGAGTGGTAAGTGGGACCTCAGAACGTGGAATAAATCTCTGACCGTGTAGGAAGCGTTTGAACTGTTAACCTAACTTGCAAGCATCAGCTGCTTTCAGAATCGCCTGGCCTAATCTATCATAATTTTTTTTCATGGCAGTTGCTTTTCCATGTCATCACTGCTTTCTGCATTGAGAAATTAACAACTAGGTATGTTTTCCTGCCCTGCAGATGGATGGGCATTCATCAATATCCTTCCCAAATGTCTTCTACTTAACAAGTTGGGTTTTACAGAAGTCAACTGCAAGCCACTTAGTGACCTCACCCTCCACACACTCTACAAATGTCCCTGATTTTAAAACATGAACATCAGTGGTGCGGCCATTTAAAAAAAGGAAAAGCATGGAAAACCCCTTGCATGCATACAAGATGGGAGGCTGCACTGTCAGAGCCCCCCACAGCCCAAGTGTGGTCCCTCCTCACACAGGGCTGCCACTGTACTGGGTTTAATACAGTGGGTCTGCGACACCATTAATTTTGCCTGTTCCTCTCCCCTCCCCCATCTGTGCTCTCTTTCATTTCCTCCTCATAAATATGAAGAACGTATTCCCAATCCTTGTTGAGCAAATGATTCATGCCAAAAGCCCAATATGCACTGACTCAGGGTATTTATATTGTCTCTGGTAGCCAGTATTTGCTAGTATACTGTAATTATTTTTGACAACCTTGCATTTAAGGTAGCCACAGATAACCAACTTAATATTCAAATGTTCATAAATCCTTCTGTTTAATATCCTCCCTACCTAATCTATGTACATTATTATTACAGGTAATGCAGAAAGTACAGGGCATGAAAAGTGCAATTAATCTCGATCCTTCCCCAGGAAGCAATGTCACTCCAAAGCCAGGTTTCTGTATTAATAGCATTATTGGGGGAAAGGAATTTAGGTTCCAAAGGGGTCTCCCAAAACTCCTACGCTGGGAGTCTCAAGTCACCTAATTAAGAATCTGTCCAGTCTGGAGATCCCACATCCCTCCTTTACAGTTGTAAAACATTATGTTCTTCAAAGTCTTGGTTTAGACTACAGGGCCAGCACAGACTGGCTGTAACATATTAAAATATTTGATTCCTCCTGCACTCCTGGGCTGGCAAGAGGGCCCATTCCAACCGCTGGAACTCGATCGTTTGGATCCCAGTATCGGATCCATTCATTCTTTTTCCAAAAACAATATGCACTGCTTCAAAAGCGAGGCAGAGGCTTCTCACACTGCCTTTGTCCTATTCTAACATCCCTTCATCATGCCCAAGAAATATCTTTTTAACGTTCAACACATGTTGACTAAATCAATAGGTTTTCTCTAATACATTTACCCACGACACCCAATGCTAACAAGCCCCGGTGACTTGTCTTTGTCACATTCAGATCTGTCACTGTCCCCATTCCAAGGTATGCGGGGACTCCGCTAGCCTAGGTACCAACACACCACAGTCTTTGGGGTAAAATGCAATGAGAACAAATATAAAAAATGATCACAGAGATCACGGCTGTCCTCGGGCCACTTTTAACTGAAGCCTCTTTGGCCTCTACTCATTTTTAACTGAAGCCTCTACTCAGCCTTCAGCCCACGCTTGGGTGTTTCCTTCGGCTGCTCAGTGAGCCGGGGAACCTGTGGGGACTCATTATAAGCTCACAGTGCCCTTGTCCATGCTTTAGCCCTGCTACCTTCCTGGTATTTAAAATATACTCAAATGCCTGAATTGAGAAGATTACCAGTCTTTTGTGCCAAGGTTTTCCCTGACTCCATTATAAACTCTGTACTTTACAATGAGCATATATTGCTCTTGTAATTAGGGGGAAAAAATAAAGCAATGACTTTTCTCCCAGTCCTAAATATGTTCAGAATAATTCTCCTACCAAAGACTTAACAACAAACAACAGGAATGGGGGTACAGGAGAGTGCAAGCCAGAAAGTCACGTGATGGTCTACATTCAGAAAACACTGAGGGGACATGCCAGGACCCTGCGATGGACCCACCCTCCTCTCCCCAGGTGGCAGATTTCATGCTGTTGAAATGCTTTCCTCATTTCATGCTGTTGAATGAGGATATTCGTTATCTGGGTTCAGTTTTTTTTCTTTAACCACAAATAAATATTACTGTTATAATTTATAACAGTAAATAAATCAATAAAAAGATTTCCAAAAATAAAAACTGACATGACAAAGAGACAATAACATTTGACCAAAAATGAAATGTTAGCTCTGTAAATGAAAATCCCAACTGCTCCCTATTTGGGGCTACGGAAGAGAAGTAACCTTGAACAAGCATATCGCCTCTTGGATCTCAGTTTCTTCACTGGAAAGAAACTTCCACTTGTAGAGATTATGTGCAGACAGAATGAGGTACCCAGGACAGGCCTTGCACAGAGAAGATACTCACTAAAGCTACTTCCTTTTTTTCTAATTCGTCTATTAAAATACCTTATTAGATGTAAAAACAACAACAACAAGAAACCGTAGTAGATGTCTTTAAAGTTTCCTAATTTACAGGTGCAAGTATTTTTAAAAAGCACAGTAAGAGAAATCTGCATGAGTGGATACTTACCCACAAAAATAATGAAATGTGCTATGTCACATAGAGACTCAAAGGGAGCAGAAACGTCACTGTGGAAGCAAGGGCATGATGTCTGTGGACGGAGTGGGGTCATATGGGCCCTCCCTGAGCCATGCTGCCTTTGCTGGCCAGCATTAAATCCCGCTCCACTGGAGAACTCTCACTGCCGCACTACCCTGTGATTTGTTGCTTGGAGGAAAGGTAGGCAAATGAGAGCTGGGAGAGAAATTTCCTGGTTTCCTTTTGAGAACACAATTTAATGGAATTCACGGTACACTTGGGTACGTGGTTAATAATACTGTTAATAAATGAAACACAGTGCTGGCTGCTGATTCTACCCAGTTCCCTAAAACCACAGATAAATTAATATGGCAATGAAAATAAACCACAACAACAAAATGAGGAAATTCCAAACAGGAATGTAAATTACTTGCGCTCACTCAGCAAACAGAAACTACGACTAGACTTACATTTTCTTTGGAAAATGATCTTGTGAAACACAGGTATCTGGTAACCTTGGATTTAAATAAGCCGTCTTTCCAGAGGTCGGCATCCACACCATCTGCTGTCTGTGCAACCTACACCAAAGAGACAGAGAAAAGGACCGCAGGTAAGGCAGGAAGGAGCTGAAGGTGTGCGTGGCCACTTCTTCTGCATGTTCCAATTAACACAGGCCCGGGCTCTCCGGGCATCTCATTAGTTCATTTCACTAGGCACTGGGATGAGATTTTCCAAAAGGGGAAATGGGAAAGTGTGAAAAATACAACTTCTAAAAATACTTCCCTGGGGAAGCTGTTGATTAAAGACGCCCTGACAAAAATGGTTCTAATGAGAAAAGAGCAACTTTTGTTGTAATGGACCAAGAAGGGATTGGGTAAGTCAGCACATTAAGCAGCTATTACCACTTACAGGGGTGAAGAAAGGAGACCACAGGGTGTGATGAGCCACCTGAGGGGCCACTGCCTGCAGTGAGGGTGACACAGCCTCCTGTTCTAGGGCCCCGGGGCCAGCTGGGTGCTTCAGTCAATGGGATTCTACTGGAGGCTGGGGCGGAGAGGGAAGTCAGAAACATTTCACTCCACCCTGCATCCTCTTGGTACAAGCCCTGAGAGTGGTATTCAAGGTCAGAAACTGGATCAGGATAGAAAAACAAAAGAAGACTCGGTCCCTTGTTCCTAGTCTCACTAGGAAGCCATTTTCTCATCTGCAGCTGTAGAAATTCTCTACTAGGAAGTGTCTGAGAATGACACCAGCCAGCCTTGATCTGAGTATCAAAGCCCCTGTGACCTAGACTGGGGCTGGGCTAGGGGATATTCGCATGAAAGACCCGGCTTTGTGGGGAGAGCGTGCAAAGGAGATGGGAGAGGAGGAGGAGGCTAGAAGAGGGTGGTGCTTTCTTCCTATTTCTTTCCAGACTGCTCTGTGAATTGCTGGTCAGGGCTTGGTCTGTTTTCTGCCTCAGCCTCCCTGTGAGAGTATGACTCAACCTTGCATGCCTTCCGTTAAGCACCTCGAAGGGAGGCATCCAGGAAGACTGAGGAGCAGCACCCGTTTTGGAATAAACTCTGCAGGAAGTCTCTGAGCAGTTCACTTTTGGACTCCTTCTGGGTTCTCCTTTCGAGCTTTAGACTTTGGGATCCAGTCCTTGACCTAACAAGCTCCTGCCCGTCCTGACAAACTGCTGGAAGTGCCTCCATTCTTCACACAGAACTGCTCTGATGCGGCCCCATCCTGCACACTGACTGCAGGCTCTACACAGAGCATGGCGGGCCCCACAGCACATGGATGGCCTCTGCCTGTCACATGCTCATGGCGGAGGCGGGTGCCAGGACCCCAGCCCAGCGGGCTTAGGCTTCCCAGGACATTCCTGGAGCCCACCACAGCCACCCTCTCTGAGGCTGCCTTAGAAAAACCGAAAGGCCAGGAGGCAAAAGAAAAAATGCTTGTTTTTCAAACCAAACAATTGTAAATTAGCAAATATAACAACGGGAAAAGAAAGGCCCTTATGATAAAGATGCAAATATATTTGACCTGAAAGCTGAAGGAGGAATGGTATGGGGATAATTTTAGGAACTGTTTCTCCAAGTATGTCACCCCCACAGATAGAAACAGGATGGAATGGAGGTAGGCATTTTTCCCCATTAATGGTGACACATAGAGTTTCTAGAGAAACATGAGATTTAAGGCAGTAGTCTCAGCTCCTCCACCACGAAGGACGTCCTATGCTTGTTTTCTCCCACGGATTCTATGTTTTGAAAGATTTTCTCCCAATGCACTTTTTACTGTATTTCCTCAATTCTAGGATGCAGTCATTTGGGGAACACCCCTTCACACACAAAAAGGTATAGTACCACACCCAAACATGTGTGTCTATTTTAAGATGCATCCCAATTTCGGAACCACTAAAATGTAAAAATAAAACATGCTGTAAACAAAAGGAATTAGGGAACCTCCATGGTCTCTCTATAATAAATGCATAATTTCTGATAAACTGTCTGCAGAACACTCTAACCACAAGCTGCGCTGGAAGACAGGGAGCTGTGCCTTTAGCCTTCCAGCAGACAAGGGCGTCTAGAAGGGCTTGTTTGGGTATCTGGGAATCCCACAGAGGCGGGTGTGCATTCTAACACAACACTAGAAAGGTCTCCAGGGTTTGCCAGTGATGATTCTCTCCACTCACCACATTGCTAGAACCATCCTTAGTTTCTGAGTGAGAAATGAAAATGTAATGGGAAAAAGCCGGCAGTGTGGGCTCCTCTGTTTGAGCCTACACTTCACTGTTCTCCCAATCCTTATCTGTGAAGCATTAAACAAGGATGACCCAAGGCCCAGCTTTGACCTGGACCAAAACTCATTTGCAATGACGTAAAAATGTGTAAAGGCATCATGAAGGAGCCCAGGGAGGTAAGGTGGGAAGAATGAGTGAGAGAGTGAGAGAGTGAGAGTGAGAGAGAGAGAGAGAGAGAGAGAGAGAGCGCGAGTGTGCACCTCCCCTAACCCCCAAGGAAGGTGGTGCTGGGCAGAGCAGGGCTCTGGAACGGAGCCCAGAGGGCTGGACGGTGCAGGGACCCATAACACCAGGTATTGGGTGAGGAGTACGATGTGGGTTCCTGGCTCCTTGAGAACACTGGGAAGGCGGCCCTGCTAGAACAAGGTGGGCATTTCTGGCCTGTCTTCCCTACAGCAATAAGATGTACCCAGGGGCTTCTTCCCAACCCGGTCACATAAAGGTGCCTAATAACCTAAATTCTTTCCATCCCAAGTCAGGAGAGCTAATGATCTGCAAGATAAATGATCTGTCTATGTGGCTGAAGTCACAACCCCAAGAGGATCCCACACACCTGACTCAAGGCAGGGTCTACCTGATGTTGCCCATGCCCCCCTGGTGCCCCTGCAGAAGCTTACAAGCTCAGCAGTCAGCCTCAGGTCCCAGCATCAGAAAGTTGGGGAGAGGTGGGGTGTGGGGTGGAGGACCACTTTGTATAGAGCATGAGCAGCAAGGAATTCACAGGCATACTTGAACTTGAGGCCCAATGGCTTAAGCCAGTCCTGTCCTCTGCAAAGTGGACATGCTGCCTCTCCCTGTGGGCATCACTGCCGGGGCAGAGGAGACCATGGACATGCAGAGTGCCTGCCTTAGTGCATGAGCACTCCAAAGACAGTGCTAATGTTTCTAAACCAAAAAAGGGGACATCTGCTCTGACAGCGAACCAAGTCTTGAAAGTGATGTCAGGCTACATCTGGATTCAAAAAGTCCTCTGTCGTCTGAGGGCTCAGCGCCAATATCTGGGACTAAATCTGATCTTTCCAAACACAAATGATATACTTGTACAAGGAACGTCTGCCCTCCTCCTGCTATCCCACCCTGGACTCTAAGCTTCACAGGGACAACAGCAGTGCCTGTTCTGCTTGCCATTTTAACCGTTGTGCCAGGCACAGTGCCTGACATGGATGGGCTCCATCTAAACTTGTTAAAGAATAAATGAACAGGGCCGGGCGCGGTGGCTCAAGCCTGTAATCCCAGCACTTTGGGAGGCCGAGGCGGGTGGATCACGAGGTCAAGAGATCGAGACCATCCTGGTCAACATCGTGAAACCCCGTCTCTACTAAAAATACAAAAAATCAGCTGGGCATGGTGGTGCGTGCCTGTAATCCCAGCTACTCAGGAGGCTGAGGCAGGGGAATTGCCTGAACCCAGGAGGCAGAGGTTGCGGTGAGCCGAGATCGTGCCATTGCACTCCAGCCTGGGTAACGAGAGCGAAACTCCGTCTCAAAAAAAAAAAAAAAAGAATAAATGAACAAGTCAACTCTGTAATCAGGGCAGTGTGAAAAGCCACATACCCTGCCAGCTTCCCAAGTAAGGTAACGGGAAGTGTTTTAAATGAAATGTCCAGGATTTAATCATTGAGCTGAGTGAATCCCCTTCAGAATCACCACTCTGAGTCACATACCCATTTCAGCACGGAGGCCACCTACTCTTTTGGTTACCTTGTATGTTTGCCGCCTTGTACCCAAGACAACGTGGAATGTCTGCTGACTGCAGAACCTTCAGAGTCTGTTTCAGAGCCTCGCATACACACGCGCACACGTGCATGCACGCACATGCTCTTGCACACTCACACTCACTCACACACTCTCACAACCTCTCTCCTAGCATTTCTTCCCCGGGAGTAGGAGCCATCTCTGAGGAGGAGGAGGGGCCTAGGGCAAGGCAGTGGCGGACTGTACACATACCTTATCCCTCTTCCTGCCAGGATTCCTCTAAAACAACAATCAAGTGGAGAGTGCAGAAGCCTCCACAATGAAGAGCGAGAGGGGAGAGGTAGCACAAGGGCCTGGCATTGCAGAAAGCAGAAGGCAAGGAATTTAGCCAGTGGAGGGGTTGCGACCTAAGGGGCCCATGGGGGTGGATACTGAGCAGAGCCCCAGGATCCAGAATAACCAGAAACCAACTGGGGTGGGGACAGGGGAGCAAGTGCAAGTTTCAGGCTGAATCAGTGGGCTGAAACAAGGTTCGTAAACAAAGTGGTTAGACACCTGGGTGCCCACTTCTGTTTCAGGTGTTTTTTTTTTTTTTTTTTTTTTGCAGAAAGGAACCCAGCATGGCTCAGGACTCTAGAACACGGGCAGGTGGGGAAGGAGGTTGGAGGTCGGGAGGAGGTGGGGGAGGAGGTGCCACTTTAGAGTGGAAACAAGGGTAACGGGGTAACCGTGCAGGCACACTGAACGGCAATGGCAGGCCCCTCCCCACTACCCGGGCTCCCCCTCCTTCCTGCTTCCAGCAGCCTCCCCTGAATGCTTGACACTGAGGGCTTTGTCTCTGGAGAGCTCCAGGGTGGCCCAGCCCATGATCCCTGAGGCAGCTCCTGCTCGTAGCCCCCGCTGTGCAGCCCACCAGCCAGCAGGCCCCCCACCCTTGAGCTGGTGCTTCCATCTTAAATGCCAACCCATAACAAAGGGTCACCAGGCACTGGGGACGGGCTCAGACACAACAGAAGGGCCAAAAATAGAAAAAAGGGAGCTTGAAGGAAGCACAGAGAATAGGAGGAAACAGCACCAGCTCAGGACAGAGAACCCA